GTGACAACAATCCAGCGAAAATTGCTTTTAAAAAATAAATTTAGTATCGAGAGAAAATCGTATTTATTAATGTTTATAAAATAATAATTTACATACTCTCATACATGATGTCTACATTCAAAAAAAAAATATATATATATATATATATATATATAAATATATATACATACATACATACATATATATATATATATATATATATATATATATATATATATATATATATATATATATATATATATATATATATATATATATATATATATATATATATATCTGTATATATATGTATAATATGCCTCGAAACAATTTGCATGCGAAGAAAAAAGAAAAAACTATACACCAAAGAGCATGTTTCGCTTGCGGTGGCAAGCACAATGTGCAGTACAAAGCAGTGAATTTTCACTTAACAAATCTGCTAAATCATTCAGCATACCAGTAGCAGCTCTTCACAGGCGTGTCCACTGTATAGGTGAAACAATAGGCAGTGGTTCAAGCACGAGATTGTCACAACAACTTGAATCAGTTCTGGTAGATACGCTCATCAAATTATCCGATTGGGGCTTTGGTAAAACTTACAATAACGTGATTGCACTAGTTACCGGTCATTTGCTACCAAGGTCAATCTCATTTGCTTTATAAAAAAGTGCCGAAATGTTTTAGGCGAAGCTTCAGTAAGTCAAAACTGTGAATGGTACCAGCGTCAAAATTCAAATTGCAATTTGATTGATATTTTAATTGTTATTATTGATTGTTTTTTTAATTGTTATCGATGATTGCTTTTTGTTTTTTTAATAAAGTATTGTTTTAATTACACATACATTTGCGTATTTCATTCTCCCCGTATGTAGGTGGAATGGAATAAATTTTTTCTTAGTCAAGTTAAGTTTTATAAAAAACTTTAATTTTTTATTTTTATTTATTCAAATACAACTCAATAATTCTCTACAAATTTAAAAAAATTAAAAATCTTTTTTCCGTAAAAAGTAAATAATTAAAATCCTTAACTATTATATTTGACCCCATTTTGCTTTAGTCTTTTTTCAGAATTTTTTTTTTTTTTTTTTTTGGAAATTTAAATTTTTGAAGAGTATTATTATTATTATTAAACTAATTATTTTGAGAATAATTGATTTTAATTAAATTTTTGGTCTAAAGATTGGTCTAAAAATGCATGTTAAAAACACATTTAGTTGTCCGCGAAATTCTCCCATAATTTAAAAAACGTATTTATTGCTGAAAAAAGAGTTTTAAAAATGTAAAAATTTAATCTTTGTCAAAACATTTTAATTTTGATAAACAGATTTTTACATTTCAAAGCTAAAAAATTTTATTAAAATTATTTTTGGGCAACTTTTTTTAAAATTTTAAGGCATTTTGCGATGCTGATCTCTTGTGAATTTTCATTACTTTGAAAATAACTTTTAAAAAAAATGACATCATTTTATTAAATATTTAAACTTTGTACAAGTAAAACAAAATAAACAAACAAAAAAAATTAAAAACATCTATCGAACATTAACATACAATAAAAATGTCAATATACATCTACAGAAAAAGTTATTTACGCGAACAAGACATAGGGTAACAAAAACGAATAATATTTGCAATATATTATGTTGGTGCTAACTTTATAAAACTTTTTGCGGTTGAACTATCATACTTAGAAACACCATTCAAAAGATGATGTGAGTCGTTTACAGTGCTTGTATTTGAAATTAATGATACATTTTGCGACCTGGGAAACACCCCAACAGAAGAGTTTGTAGTAAGTAGAATATTTGTTTGTGGTATCCCTTCAGACTTTTTTAAAGGATTGTTATTTGTTCCTATGTTATTAGAGGAAACTCGTGGCATAAACGAATGATTGCTGGTACTAGAAAGAGCTACCTGGTCATTATTTGGTGACTTGATAAAATTTGTGGCATTTATATTTAAACGTAGTTGACCAGTAGACAAAGGAGCGATTAAAACAGGTGTTTTGTTTATCTTTGGTGTGAAATGTTGGGGACTGTTTGTGAAAATATGATGCGAATTGTTTGCTTCTTGCGCTTGAGACAAACTAATGTTTCGAGAAACTGGCATAACATTAGCAGTTTCAAAAATATTTGTATTAAGATGTGACGAAAACACTGATAGAGATTTAGAAACAACAGACTGTCTGGTGGTTGTCGTTATAAAAGATGCATTACTTAATGCCGAGGAGCCAATTAAAGTTGAAGATGTTGTACTTAAGTGATGACCAAGCGGATGGAAAACGATGGGTAAAGATTTTGTTACTTTTTTTTCGATAAGCTGATTCACAACAGAAATATCCTGTGGATTCCAAACATTTATTTCAGATTTTGCGGTTGCAATATTTTTTAACTGCTTTTTTAAATCCAACCCATTGGAAGTCTGGTTAAAACTAGGCGAAGAAATTCGAAGTTCTCGCGATGTGACAGCTGACGTTGCAAACTTCAAATCAACAGGTTTACCAAGGTGTTCTTGAAGCTTGGAACTAATCTGATTTATTGCAACAACCTGTTGCGCTGCCTTTTGAAGATCATTAATAGACTTAATTGATGCAGGTAAAGAATGACCGTTATTATTGGTTCGCAGATTATCTACAGGATTAACAAAAGGATTTCTTAAAAAACTCGACGAATCTGGAAGTAAGCGAACTGGATTTGACATAGAGCTCATTATAGGCAACGAAGTGTGAAAAGATTGAGGTGAGCTAGTTGCACTTTCCGAATCTTTTCCAATGAACTCGCGAGTAGAATTTAACCAGCTTTCTACTTTGGAATGACTGGGCTGAGCAACATGATCAATCTGCGTTAGAATGGGAAAAGTGGATCGATCGATCGGTGGTGTCGCAGGCGTAATTACCTCTCTTGATTTTACAACGTTGGAAAACAAAAGCATTTGACCACTTGGTGCTTAAATAAAATATACATTAAAGTTAACAGCAGCATTTTAATATAAATTATAAAATAATAATACAATAAAAATACTTGCTTACTTGAGGTTATATTGTTAATTATCGGACTAGGTTTTATAAGTTGCTGTGAAGGTTGAGTAAATATTACTTTTGGGATGTTACCACCGAGCCCATTCATTTGCGTCATAATTTGCTCTTTCACTTGTTCCCATCTGGGAGAATCAGCTGCGATATTTACTCCTGCACTTTTCATTTGCAACATAAGCTGTCTTTTAAGATCATTCCAAGTAATTGTAGTTGGGTGCGATTTAGATACGTTGTTTGAATCTGACTGCGGGGATTGCAAAGACACAGAACTATTTTTTGACGCGGTCGTTGTCGTGACAACAAGAGCTTTACGCGGTCGGCCGCGAACAGTTGCTGATTCAGTGCTAATACGTGGCGTCAAATCACCTATTTGTTGTTTTACAGGAACAAGATTATAGGGATGTGAATTACTTTTCAAAAGGGTGTTTATCGAAACTACTTTTGAGTTTGCTTGTAATGGAGCCAAAGCTGTATCTGCCAATTGGTGTAGTGGGTTCATTAATAACGAATCATTATTTTGATTTAAGTAAACAGTGTGGCGAGTAACGCCCCCAGTTTCTTGGTGCATTGCATTCGTAGAACTGTTTAGACCATTAGTGAAAGGTTTACTGTCTATGTAAAATAAAAATACTTTTAAATTAAATATAAAACAAACAAAAAGTTAAAAATAATTATTTTTCCTTAATTTTTAATTATAAAAATTTCCATGCATTATAATAATTCAAATAAAATTTCATCATTTTCAAAGCATCAGTTAACATACCTTGACATATTGTTGCTGTTTTTAAACCAGATTGAACTAATTTAGATGACAAACCTGTACTTAATGCATTTATTAAGTAAGTAGCAGTAACAGGTGTAATTACTTTTTTTTGCTCTTGAGTCATGCTGTTAATGCTTTTTTTGTTTTTAGTTCTGTTAGACTTGGGTGTTCGTTCATCACTAATGAAAAAGTTGTCGTCGTCATCATCTAATTCTGGAGGAAATTCCTTTTTCATATGTTTAAGAAAAACGTTTTTTAGCTTCATTGCCATTTTAGTGAATGCTGAAATAATTGATTAAAGATCTTAGTGAATGCTTAAATAATTAAAGATTTTTGAACAAGTTTTAAAATCATAACAAGGCAAATAATCATTATTTCAAGGTAAAAAATAACTTGTTTCTAAACTGATATTAATAACTTACAATTTGTGGTCCCATTATATATTTCACAATTGTCAAAGATAAGATGAACATCATTTTCAAACTAAATTCAAAATAGTAACTTAAATTCAGAAATTCGTATCAAATATATTAAAATAGGCATCAAACATGTTTTAAATTTCATTCGAGTTATTTGAAAAATTTTTGTCTCTGTTTTAAAACACCTAACCAGAATCCAACCTAGTAATCAGAAAAGTTGGATTCTAAATGTTGTATACATTTTTTAGAAACCAAATCTGTTATTATCTGGGTGCCCCGTTTTTTAAGTTTAGAATATTATAAAGTTTTTAACTTTTTTTTTCTAACAATTTTACTTGTTTTTAAAACATTAGAAATTGATGTTAATGAGCCCCAAAATAAAAATATAAATAAAAATTATTTTTAAATAATTTGGATATAAGAATGATTCAATGTTCAAAACAAAAACTAATATAAATTGAAAAAGTTGCTAAAAATATAATTTTATTAGCAACAACAAGAACAAAAAAACATGTAATAATAGTAAAGTAGCATGTTTACAACATTGGTCTTTTTAAAGTATTCTTTTAAAAAATGCAACTTCTAATTTTAATAAGTTAACAGTTAATTTATTTAAGTTTTGATTAGAAGAGCTAAATCACAGTTATTATAATAGTAAACATTTAATAGAACTATTAAGCGCAAGTAGCAGTTATCAGTTATTATAATAAACAGGTGATATTGATACAAGAGAGTAAGAAAAAAAAAAGAAACTAATTGACCAGCTAATTCTGTTTTTTTATTTAAAAGGTCACCATAAAGTAAACCAGAACTGAAATAAGTAAATTGTAAGATTAATGATAAGTTGATTTTTTAAATCCTAAATATAAAAAAATATACCTCGCTTTTTTGTTGGTACACCTTCTTTCTAATTTTTTCTGCTATTGTATTCAGGTCCATTGGATGCTAGTAAATAATCATTTTGTTTTGAATCATTTGCATGTAAAAACTATCACTATTAAACAGAGTTTTTTTAGCACAATTTTGCTATATTCAACATTTTTTTTAATAAAAAAGAATTTAAATTTCAAAATTAAATTTTTTTCATTAAAAGGGCTTTAAAAGCAATCTCTAGCGCAAGAAAAGGTTTAATTAGATGGTTAATTAACAAATGATTATAAAAAAGAATATTCTCTTTTTTATAATCTTTTATTTATGAATTATAAAATTATATTTTACTGATGATTTACATTATACCACAAACATTTATGGACCCTTTTTTTAAAGAATAAAATAGATATATAAAGAGTTGAACCAAGCAACTTATTTATTTTAAAATTTACATTTTCAAAAGAAATCAATTGGCTAAAGAAATTAACTACACTTTCAACCAACTTTAATTAAAGAAAAAATACCCGAAAAAAGTTATTCTAAATCTAAAAATGACTAAAAACACACTGCAAAAGAAAATGTGTGCAATGCATGCCATCAGATCTGAATGCACGTAAATTTTCTGCACATTTTTGTATATATTAGAATGTTGTTAATGAATCATTTACAAATAAAATAAAATATACTTAAGCCATTGTAAATAAAGATACTTCATATTGGAAAATTTTAACCTTTCTAAAAATAACTATTCTACAAAATGCTGACACATGCAAATAAAGTTTTTATGGAAAAATGTTTTTTTAGTGGTCTAAATTAGAAAATAACCAAATTTTGTTTCAATTGTAAAATACAAATAAGAAACTTTTTTATAAAATCTTTAATAAAAAATATTTAAACATGGGTCAGGGGCAGTTTGAGTTTGGATAGAATAAAGCTCTAATCACTTTGACTTTTTGAAAGTTATTTAAAACCAGTATAAACATATTGGAATTCGCCTATGACCATAAAAGACTTATCTTGAACACTAAAAAATTCTTGACCTCCCACTGCTCATTAAATGAAACTAAGAAATAAAGAACTTAAATGAAACCAGAAATAATCTAAATATATTATATTATATTATATAGAAATAGTCTCTTTATAAACACAAGACTTAACCAAACCAGGCAAAAAAAGCATGTTTTATAAAATTGTTAGCACGTTCCAAGCTTAAAAAAGTGCATACTCACAACCTTTTTAAACACTCTTTTTATAAAAATTTATTTAAAAAAATAACTTAAAACATATTAATAATAACATTTATTTATAAAACATATTGATAGTAAAACTTTTTTTAACAGACTTTTTATAAAAATTTATTAAAAAAAACATAACTTAAAACATATTGATAGTAAAAATTACCTTAATATATGTGTAATATTTTGGAGCATCTTCCTCCTCAACAGGATCTTTAAATGGCCAAGAGTCATTGTGATCCAGCATTGCATGAACAACTAGTTCAAATAGTCAAAAAAAAAGAGTTAAAAAACAAGTAGTAGAAAATAATTTCTAACACAAATTTAATATTTTATAAATAAAATACAAAACACACCTCTCTCCATTGAATAAAGCATTTCATTTTGCTCCGAGTCAGATTCATCGCTATACACAACTTTTTTATTACTACTTGACACGCTGTCTGTTATTCGGGTAGAATGTAAAAGATCAGGATTATCTAAATTCAACTTTAGTTCTTCTCGTTGCTTAACACGCAATGCTCGCTCTAAATATATAAACAAACAGTAGGATATAAAGATGCTTTGATATAGCTTCTCTAGCTAGAATGAAACTAGTGATACATAGTGATAAATTAGTGTATAAAAACTTTACCTAATTTTCTTTTTAATTGTGTATTTCAGGAGAAAATAATTATACTTCAAAGGTTTATATAATATATATTTCGCTTGTAAAAAATGTAGGTAAGACTTTGATACAAAGTATATATTTCGCTTGTAAAAAATGTAGGTAAGACTTTCACACAAAGCATTCCTTTAGATTTTAGTAACATGTTTTTATTTTTATTTTAGTTATTATTACTTTTTTTATTATTATTAGACACTGTTAAAGTATAAAAAAATTGTTCCTAATATTATGAGAATAAACAATTTGATGAGAATTTTATGTTATTTTATTTTAATAGTATTATTATATTTTATAATTATATACATGCACATAATATTTAATAAACTCTAGTTCATTGTTAAGGTAAAAAAAAAAATTATTCATTTGTTCCACCATTATATTTATATTATTATAGGGAAGCTTATACTAAATGAAAAGTTCTTGATGTTTTAATAAACCTTCAAAACTTGAATTTAATAGTTGAAAATTTATGACTGATGAATTTACCTATTTAGGCAACAGAGGGGTATTTAAAGCTACAATAGTTCAGCGCATTTTCATGCATTTTTCATGAACTGTATAAAAGTATATCTTTTAACATAAAATCTTTTAACATTTTTCCTTTTTCTGTACTAACTTGACCTATAATAGAGCTGAAAATTATTATTGTTTTTTATTGTCTGCTTATATAATAATTGCTGCCAAATGCAACTGTGTAAAAACACAGCTAATCCCAGTCTCTAAAAATCATAAATGAGTTTTTGACTTAATGAAAATTCCAGAAATTTTTTTCTATGAAAATCCCAGAAAATTATTTTTATAAAAATTCAGGAAAATCCTAAAAAAATTTACAATCAACAAATTGAGGAAGGTATGTGTGTAAATTCTGGAACATTGGTAAAGGGACAAATAAAGTAACTAAAAAAAATAAATGTTTCTCTAAAATATCAGACTATGGTTCAGAAATCAATACTTTTTATTCTTAAAATTTTCTGTTGCAAAATATTCATCAGCTTTTCTTTTTATGCACTTTTTTGCATGAACAATAATTTTCAAGAACAATAGATACTTTATCTATTTTGCACCGTTCATGTGAGGCAATTCTTATTTCTGCGTTGAATATATAATAAAAAAAGTTCTTTAACTTAAAATTCCATTTTAGTATAGTGCATGCAAATGCTATATTTCAAGACAGCATTTGCATGCAGTTTGCAAATGACTATAGCAGAGTACATTAAAGTATCGAGACGGTTTGTCTTTTTAAAAACTATGGTGTTCATCATGCTAAATGATTACTCAATGCGAGGACTACTGAATATACTGAGACATGCCTTAATAATATTATTACGTTCTAAATATTTTTTACACTTAAAAACTTCTGCCCACCAATAGTCAAGACATACAGGCTTTCCATCAGCAAATAAATGTGGAAGGGCTATATCTATCTAAAGCTGCATAACCTCTCAATGAAAAACTACTGTATTTATATCTACAGTGGGAAAAAAAGTTGAGAGTTTTTTAGCGTTCTTTCTGTAATTTAGTAACCTTGAGACATTGAATTAGTAGCAGAGAGGCATTTTAATTAAGGGTTGTTAAAAGGAAATTTATCAAGTAAGTAAACTGATAATTCAAGGTAAGCTTTTAGCAAGGTCTTAAATAACGAAGATTTGAAGTCAGGATTTCAAATAATTATTCTTGACAAATATTTTTCAGCATTACTTCCAAGGTATATGTTATTCGAACAACGATACATTTTTTTATCTTTTAGGTTTAAAAATTTCAAGTTTGTTCCTGTTATATTTTTTATTGTTTTCGGCTTAATAAAAAGTTAAAATTTAAAATGTTTTATTAAGCCAATTTTATTAAGTTCAATTTGCTTGTTATAAATTCGTTGGAATAACAGCTCTTTTTGTTCAATATAGGAAGAATTTCAACATTTAAATTAATATAAAGTAATGATTCATTATGTTGAAAAAATAAACTTTAAACAACTCTAGCTTTTCCTTCTGCACCTTGTTTTGTTAGCTTTTTCTGCTGCATTTTATATTTTATTTTTCCTATTAGTTTTTGACTTTCATTTGATAGCCTCATTGTCACTTTCATCTTTATACAGGGAGATGTCCTGTTTTGATAACCAAGAAAAAAAAATAAAGAAAGCAGGTATCATCTCAAGCAGAGGAAGAGTGCAATCTAAAACAGACAACCACTGATGAAAAACCTTTTGCTTTGGAGTATGTGACACTTATGTTCTGACAAAATATTTTCAGAAATGTATGAAGATCTGGAGCTAAACTTAAAATCGATATCATACAGTAAATTTTAAACTACCTTACAGATTTTATCATTGATAAAATTTCATAATCATTGATATCATACAGTAAATTTTAAACTACCTTATAGAAAAAAGAAGTAAATTTTTTGGTAACATTGTGCACATGATGACAAATATGACCATCAATATCAAGTAAGTGAGAAGCCACTTTTCTTAATCTTGTTTCAAACCCGCTAATTTTTCCCCTCATATAATTGGTAGAATTTAATAAATTGGAAATTAGATTACTTGATAGAATTGAAACTTTGTTAAATAAATGAATAACAGCATTAAAAAGACTTTTGGCATTTACCATAACAAGCAATGTTTTAATACAACTTTTAGTTTTGTTGCAAAAACATGCTATAAGTATACTAAGAATCATCTCATTTTTTGCCAAGAAGCACTCACCTATGTTAAGGGAAATGATTTTTTATTTTCATATCAAAAACAAGCTCAGAATCAAAAGCTCTGCAGTTGTTCTGAACATTTTCAATTTTTTTAAAACACTATGATCTTTAGACATTTCTTTTCCAAATTTAATCATATGGGATGTTAAAGAAATTGGAAGACTGTGTTCATAAATAAATGTAAGTGTCATAACTTCTGCATTTAACATCCGTTCTCATTTAATGTTCCATTACTCTCTTTGTGCAAGTACTGCCAATATGCACATTATCCAGAGAGACATATGGCAATATACATGTATCCATTTTTTAAATTAGTAGAAAATGAAAAAGGTTTCATTTGAACTTCATCGTTGCGCACTTTTGACAATGTATTATAGACTTTGAATGGCTGAGTAAAGATTTTTTACCTTCACTTCTATAACTAAAGTTGTTACCACATATTGTACATCATACCTAAAACATCAAACTAAATAAAATGTCTATGATGAAATTATATATTTTAATGTTCAGTTAACTTACTGCTCCAGCTTTATCTAACTTTCTAATATAAACTGAATAATAATCTTTGCTATTATGTTTCTCTTCAAGCCAATTCATCAAAACTTGTTTTTAATATTTTCGTCACAGAAATATCAAATAAACTCTCAACTTTCATTTTATACCTTTTTTTTTTTTTTTAAAGTAATAACTGACAAAGAAAACTTTTGTAAACTTTTAAAATGGAATTTAGATCAATTATTTTTTTACAAAAATGAATTTTTAATACTCGAAATAGTTAATTTGAATAAACTAAAAAGAAAAAAAAAAATAAGCAAATAAAAATTATTGAGAAAATTAATCTTGTGAAAATTTCAGTAAACATATTATCTAGTAAACATATTTGCTAAAATACTAATGTTGTTGAATTTAAAATTTTATTTTATTTTTTCACAAATAAATAGCAAAAAACATCCTGAAAATTCTGGAAATCTAAAAGAGTTTAAAGTCAATTGTTGGAATTCCCTGAAAAAACTCATCTTTGAGAAATAATTGATACAATAAGAAAATTTTTTTCTTGATGTTAAGGAGTAAAAAAGCTTTGCAATATGTATTTCATACTTTCCAATTATTAACAAATCCATAAAATACATTTTATATTACAATTAATAAATCATAAAACTAAATAATTAAACATTTCACATTTTCCTTCAATATTTTAATCTAATGTTTGCAGTAATTATATTGCAGTGGTATTGATTTTATTTTAACAAGATATTTAAAATAAAATCAGAAAAATACAATCGTAACCAAATAAGAAGCTTTATGGATAGTAAATCTAATCTCAAAAAGCTTTATGAATGTAAACCTACTCTCAATAGCTTTATAAATGCAAACCTACCCTCAAGAAGCTTTTCTCTTTCTAATATTCGCCTATTGCGTTCTTTCAGTCTTTCCTCTTTTTCTTGTTTGTGTTTTTCATCTAGTTCTTTAGCTTTTTGTAAACTTTTAAGTAGTCTTTCTTCTTCTTGAATTTTTTCTTCTTCTTCTCTAATCTTCATTTTCATTGTAATTCTATCAGAACATCTCCGTGGAGCCATCAATAACATCTTACGATTATATAATGCTTCCTTTAAAAAAAGGCATCTCAAAAAATACTTTGTATACCTTTAAAACTAAAAAAATACTAAATAACAAATACCAAATGATCATAAAACTAACCTTTTCTTTAAATAGTTTTTTTATGGTTACATCAAGGACAACAATTGCATCTAACAGTTCTTTCTCTTTTTTATTCTTTTTACTTTGTAGCTCTTTCAAGAAGTCATCCCAATCCTGTAGAGTAGAACAATGAAGAGACCATGTTTTGTTTGTTGAACTTAAAGTATCAATACAATTGTTTAAATCAGGTTGCTTGCTAAATATAATGAACTTATATTATAATTTCATATGCAATAACTTTTACACTATAATATAAAATTATAATATATATATAAAATTGATATAGTAAAAAGTATAAAAAGTATAAAAAGTAGTATAAAAAAATAATAAAAAAATATAAATAAAAAGATATAAATAAAATTGTTATACATTCAAAAAATAATTTTGAAGGAGAAAATGGGTTAAAACTGTCTTTTTCATTTTTAATAATGACAACACACAAAAAATAAATTTTATAGCTTTCTAGAGCTAATTTGATTTGTATGTCAATATATACTTTGCTTTTACATCATTGTCAATATCATCATCAGCAGCAAGCAAACACTGAAACACGATGAACAACAACCTTTACTTTTACTCTTTTTACTTTATCACTCCCTCTATCTTTTATTTTGTTGTTGTGACACTTTCGTACATAACCATGAGAACTGTCAAATATTGAAACTGTTGTTTCCTTTCTGGCCTAAACCAAACTGCATATTATTGATTAGAACACTGCTTCTAATTTTGTTGGTAACAATTTTTTCTAAAATTTTCATCATGCAATTTAATTCTTCAATACAAATCACATTCTAGTGCTTTATATACTAATTTATTGCTAATGTTTATTATATACAAGGGTTAAAAAAAATTGACCTAATGGTTTTTTATATTTTTGGGTTGGTTTTTTTTTAATAATTTTGGGTTATTTTTGCGTTTTATTTTTAGTTAAAATCTATTAAGAAAATTTTTTTGTTAATAATATTGAAAGCAATTATATTTTTCTTTAAGTTCATTTAAACATTGTTTATATATTACTTAATAATTTTAAATTGAATTTTTCTGAAAAGGCTCTAGATTTTTTGTGTAGCAAAGTTTTTGAAAACATTCATAAGAATAATTATAAACAAAAGTTTCATATGACTATTGTAGTAATTTGCTTATCAAAAAGATGGAATGAGTTAAATCCATTTAAAACATTGACTAACAAAAATAGAGATTTTACACAAGGTAAAAATGTCAATCTGTCAAAATTTATAAACAAAAATTGCAGTTTTTTTTTTTTTTTTTAAATAGAAATTTTTTTAAATTAATACCAACCCTATTATATATTATCTTCACCATTTAACTTTTCTTCTAAATATATTGGATTTGTGTACAACTGCATGGGGAAAATTTAATATACACATCCCTTAAAGACTTAAACATCTTAGCAAATACACCTTATACATCTTAAATCATAGCAAATACACCAAATACATCATAAACATCTTAGCAAATACACCATAAGGACCAGCAGCCATGTCTAAATAAGTCCTCTGAACAGCTAATTTCACTTCAGTACAGTTTATCAGCTATGTTGGTCCAAGAACCTTATTCATTGCAGATCAACCTCAAATTTTCATTTAGCAATTTGTCAAAATGAACTGTTTTGTTTTTACCTCAACTTTATTTGTAAGTACTTTTTCCATCTAACCTTTAATACAACTTTTTTCAATAACATCCCTGTTTCTTTAAACTATTATTCTGAACTATTTAGAATTATTCTGAAGAAATGTTTTAGTCTTAAACTATAAACAATAAAAAACTCTTTAAACTTAAAACTAAAAATTGCAAGATTTTTTGAACATTTTCTAAAAAATTTAAAAGTTTTAAAAATTTTAAGTCGGCCCACATTGACTACCAAGAACTTATTTTGGGAAGTCAAAATAACATTTTGTTGAATCCAGCCAATCATTGACTGCTTGTTATTAATCCATTTTAAAATAATTTTATGTTTTTCATTTTAATTAGAAAACATTTAACTTTATACTAACTTTATGTTACAATTGAGTAAAATGGTTATTCGGTCACTTCGATCATTTAAGAATAAATTAAAAAATGCATGCGTATTTCAATTTTTATAAACCTTTTTCTTCTCTAATAATATTTGTTATCACTTCATGCATAAGAATCATAAAAAAATGTTTATTTGAAATCTGCTGAAATAATTTGTTTGCAAAATAAGTTTTTTGAAATTATTCACACTGTTGAAATGTATAATAAGTATCAAATAAAATGATCAAATTTAGCACTAGTTTTAATTAGAGCCACCGAGTTAATATTTAAATTTTTGTTTCTTTAATTTTCAAATATTAGGTACTATTTTTTTTTCAAAATCAGTGAGATTTTAAAATACTATAGCTTTGGTCACTTATGGATTATGCAACAACGCGTCACCAAATGATAAAAACAATTAACAGGAATGTGATGAAACATTATGAAAAGATTGCAGCGCACTGAAATAATTTGTTTGCATATTAAAATTTTAAAATGGTGTGTATTACCATTTCAAGTAAACAAACTCTGAACATAATGATAAAATTTAACATTAGTATATTTAAAAGTCATTTAATAAATTTGTTTGCTAAAAATAATTTTTGATTTTTGCTTTTCATAATTTTTTTTTTTTGATCAAAATTGTTTATTAAAATAAAACTTTTGTGTGTTGATTAAAATGTATATTGTGAACTTATGAGCTGGTATTAGAAGTTCGATCAAACTAATTGTTCTCATTTGAAATAAAATATTGAAGCTTGTTTTTATTTTTATTATTTTGTTTTTACATTATAAGCTAACGATATAGTTGTCTGTATAATTCAGGAAAAAAAGTTAAAAACCTAAATTGATGTCTAAGATATGAATGTTCAAAGTTTAATTGACCAAATTTAAGTGATTTTATGGCACTTTATTTAAATCTAAATGCAATAAGCAGACTAGAGGTAGAACACTCAACTCACAACCAAGAAGTTTGGAGTTCAAATCCACCTTAAACTTCTTGAAGTATTTTCTCAAAAAGTTTCAACATTGTGCAATGACCTCATATAACAAGGTTCATGTTGCAGAAATTATGTTCAAAAGAGAGAGTTCCAATTTTTGATTAGCCTGAAAATTGATTAGCCTCCTCCACTGAAGTGGCCCTCGCTGGAGTGGTGAAATTAATAAATAAAAAATTATTAAGCAAAAGTTAAAGAAGAACTTTACTTTTTACAATTTTTAGTTGCATCAATTTTTGCTTTTTTTCGAACTGGTCTTCCACTTTTTGTTTTGGTTGGTGTAGTATGATTAGTTTTAATACTTTCTGATTCCATTTTTGGAAAATTACTTTCTTTATATAACCGAGTTCCATAAAAATACCAATATACATTTCCATCAACATCTGTACCAATTGGATCAATTCTCATATGATCAGAATCAATGTTCTATAATATAATGGATAAAATAAGTTAAGATTACAGTTTATTACTAATATCACTAAAGATTTATGCTGATATTTATTTAAAAATAAAAGGTAACCCTTATGCTATACAGGATAAAACCTTTTATTTTTCATTACTATACTATATTAAACTTTAATGTAGTTATTTAAAAAGGCATACCTTAGTCAACTCCATGGCATCCTCTAATTCTAATCGCCAATTACACATAGATAATAAAACTTCCACTTTAATTTTTGCATTCAGATATCTGTTTAAAAAAAATTCTATAACTAATAATAACTTAGAAAAGAGAATAGTAGTAAATTATATCAACTAGAACGAAAAACAGATTTAATATATATATATATATATATATATATATATATATATATATATATATATATATATATATATATATATATATATATATATATATATATATATATATATATATATATATATATATATATATATATATATATTAGCCCTTGGAATAAGAAAAAATATATATGTCAACCCTCAGAACATAGAAAAAACCCCACACCTACACAAAAATTAAAAAAAAAAAGTCAAAATTTGACTTTTTTTTTTTGAAAGCTTATTTAACATGTATTTATAAACATATACATGTTTTTTAAAAAAAGAATCTTTGTCAGAGAACAATACCACTCTTTGTCGGAAAACAAACAAGTATTAATGTCTTTGATAGTTTGTTCATTGGATAAAATAACATTTTCCAGTGATGGTTTCATTGTTACCTGATAAGTTATTTAACACACTATTTTTATACAAATAACCACCTGGTCAGCATACTCATTTTCTGACTCCAACATCAAGGCACTCAGTTAAACACATTTTAATGTTTTTATAGCAATTATCATAAATGTCTATGTTGCAAGCTAAAAATATCTTATAATAAGGTTTGATTAACAACTTTACCTTCCTTAAGAATTTTGTGTTAATGTCAGCATTGGTTTTGTCAGACAAACAACTTTTTAATATTGGTAAAATAATTATAAACAAACAAACAAAAAATTTATAAATTTAAAAAAAAAACTTACTTGAAATCCTTCTTTTCAACAGGATTATCTATGTTTTGTTTTTTCTTGTAATGAAAATCTAACAGATCTTTTAGGTAGTGATTATAATTTTCCAGTCTAAAGAAAATAAAGACTAAAGAGTAAAATAATAAAGATTGTTTTCAAGAAATTAACTACACATAGTAAGTGACCAGAACCGCGACTCTGTTTAAATAGTAATATTAGCAAATGTTATTTTTATGGTTTAGGATATATATAATACATGATAATGTATAAGGGTCATGCCAAGTGGTGCAAAGGTCCCTTATGGACCATCTCAGATTTTATTGGAATTTTTTGATTTTGTACATATATATGTGAAAAGCATGTTTTGAAAATTTTAGATCAATATATAATATGGCTCTTGAGAAAATGCTATTTAAGTAGTGGGCTATTTTGCATAAAATTTTACTCTACAAAAAAAAAAAGGTTTTTTTTTTGTCATTTTAATCAGCCAATAACTTTTGAACAATTTAGTTTTATGCTTCAGTTATTATTAGTTAGCAAGTGTGCTATGGATACTTTAGGAAACAAAAAAAATTTTAATTCTGGCATGTTAACTTTTTCCATAATGGAGGTCTAAAGTTGAGATTTTTGTTTTTAAAATGTTTTTTTTTGTGATTTTAATGATCTGAATCTTAAAAACTAGTTAAAAGATTATTACAAATCAAATTACCTGCTGATCTACATGTGGTGGATAAACATTTTTAAAAAAATCAGTTGATCAAAGAGCTGCATTTAAAAGTTATAGGTCTCCAAAATGAGTCGGATCAAGATTTTCGTAAAATTGATCTGTGATGCAAAACATCTGTTACCTAAGATGGCACTTTTTTTTTTCATAAAATTTTTTATACGCATCAATTAAAGAGTGTTAATTAATAAAAACCAAAAAAATTAATGGGCGCTTATTTATAACCCCCAAAAGGTAGTCTCTAAAAGTCAGGCAAATTTTTCATAAAATTCTGAAGTTAACATAATAAATAAATGCATTGAATTATATAATGTTATTTATTATGAAATATTAATTAAAAAATACCAATGCTTATAGCGTTATAATCCCAATAGATAAAGTCCCCTCCCCCTCTGTCCCCTGCCCACTTTATAATACAAATTTTTTTAAATAAAAAACATGTTTTTAAGAAAATAAACAAAATTAATAAAATTTACAAAAAGTTAAATTTCTCAAATAACAAAATAATCTCATTGATTTCTTTTAAGTCAATACTATAAAATCTTCCACTGTTTGACTGGACCTTAAGAGATTGTACTTTGCATACAATATGCATCAGAGGTACCCAACAAAGATCATCTCTGCATGGCCACGTGAACTTGTTAGGGTTAGGGTTTTTTAAAAATGTTTATCCACCATATGTAGATCAGCAGGTAATTTGATTTGTATAAATTTTATAACTAGTTTTTAAAATTAAGATCATTAAAATTACAAAAAAAATAATTTTAAAAACAAAAATCTCAACTTTAGCCCACAATTATGAAAAAAGTTAACATGCCAGAATTAATTTTTTTTTCTTTTTCCAAAGTATCTACAGCACACTTGCTATCTTATAATAACTGAAGTATAAAACTAAATTGTTCAAAAGTTATTGGCTGTTAAAAATGATGAATAAAACCTTTTTTCTTGTAGAGTGAAATTTCATGCAAAATAGCTCACTACTTAAATAGCGTTTTATCAAGAACCATATTAGATATTGATCTAAAATTTTCAAAACATGCTTTTCACATATATATGTACAAAATCAAAAAATTTCAATAAAATCTGAGATAGTCAATGAGGGACCTCATTAAAATTTGCACCACTTGGAATGGAATTACCCATAAAACATTTTATACTATATATTTATGTAGAGAAAATTAATGTTATAATATATTTTTATTATATATATATATATATATATATATATATATATATATATATATATATATATATATATATATATATATATACATACATATATGTATATATACAATTTCTTCATCAATCAATTTATACTTCTTGCTTAAGTTTGTCTAAGTTTAACTGATCCTTATTTTCTTTTAACACTGAAGTAAAATTATATACTATATTTTATACCATTTTTAACAAATATATTTTAACTGATGATGACTATATATTGTCGAAACATGTCTTGAATAATAAAATGTTTTTAAATAAAGTTAAAAAATTAGTCTTATTTTTAAAAGTAATATCACATTTTGTGCTGAAAAGAAGTTTTGGTAATATATATATATATATATATATATATATATATATATATATATATATATATATATATATATATATATAAAAGAGTTTGATTATTTGAAAAAATACAACTTTGTGATGGAACTTGAAGTTTCATGTCCTTCGGCAATCATCAGCCATATTTTATTCTTTAAATTAAGAAAAAACCGTTAAAAAATACAAAATACAGTAATTAACAGAAAAAAAAAAACCATAACAAAGCAATGGAATGAGTTCTGACATCAAAACAAACAATTTTTTAATTAATTAGAAAATTACTCAGTCACCCGTGTCGAATAGGGCAAGAAGGAACTTGTTTCGATGCCTGCACTTGGATACCATTTCACTTTTTTTGTTTAGCAGATTTTTATTTTTGGAAAATAGAATTTCATATTTTTTGTTTGTGCATAGTTTGCAGGACTTCGTGGCTGGGTTGTAAGCATTGCACTGCTTAGTTATTTTCTATTTGACAACTGGGTTTAAGTTGGCATCTTTTAATTTCCAAAATTCTTTTAATAATTCGGTGTCATTTTTGTATTTTAGAATGTTAAATGATTTTATATGGTTGACATATCTAATTTTGAATGGTGTTTCACTTATACCGATGTAGGATTTGTTGACAGCAGTGTTAGTAGGATTATTGGAACTTATATCGGCTTGGTATACAATCTTTTTTGTTAAGCATTGGTTTGATAAAGGGCAAGTATTTTTATTAAGGTGATTGCAGTTGGTTTTAGGTGGAATTTTGTTGTTGTTCATCATCTTTATGCGGTAGTGGTGTAGTGGTAGAGCGCTCGCTTCATAAACGAGTGGTTCCGAGTTTGATCCCCACCACATCCCTGGTAGTACCGCGCTCAACTCGTTTCTCCGCGCAGCGGCCTCGTTTGTCAAGGTTTGTGTTTCGGAGTTATAGAGTTGAGAGAGGGTTATAGCCACAAATAAGTAGCCTCCTCGTCTGTAGTGGCCTTCTCTGCCTTGAGGAGGTGAATTAAAATAATAAAAAATAAAAAAGAATCTGTTGATTGTGTGCATTTAAAAAAGATTTCATATTCGGCATACAGCTATAACTTATTTTTATCGTGTTTATGTTTAAAATTTTGTAGAGTCTGTGATTTATAGGGAAGTGTTTGTTGATTAAGGTTAAAAAGGTTTTTCCTACATTAGCACTAACATTTTTGCTGAAAGGAGGGTTGAAACATATGATGTTTCGTTTACGATTTTTGGTATGTGGTAAATTTATATATATATATATATATATATATATATATATATATATATATATATATATATATATATATATATATATATATATATATATATATATATATATATATATATATATATATATATATATATATATATATATACAGTAAACTTCATTAAAAAAAACATAAACATAAGTAAACTTCATTAAAGAAAATGACATCTGCACAAAATTTAAAAAAATTAATTTTTTTTTCTTCTTAAAAGTAAACTAAAGAATTATAATATTATATATATATATATATATATATATATATATATATATATATATATATAATATATATATATATATATATATATATATATATATATATATATATATATATATATATATATATATATATATAATATTATAATTCTTTAGTTTACTTTTAAGAAAAAAAAAAATTTAATTTTTTTAAATTTTGTGCAGATGTCATTTTCTTTAATGAAGTTTACTTATGTTTATGTTTTCTTTAATGAAGTTTACTGTATGTTTAGAATATAATAAACTAAAGTAATGATTAACTCACACAAATACAGTAAAATACTAGCTTTGGCAAATCATATGTTTCATTTAGTCTAATTATTCTCATGTACTTCTATAAATATTTGCACATTCTTACCTATTACATTACAAAGTAAATGTATGTAAATTAATTCTTTAAATATTTAAAAGCTAATCTAAGATTTTTTACAAATCAGCATTTTCACTTGAACATTAGGCAAAATTTAGCTGAATCAAACACTTGGTTTTGCCAAACATTTACTGTATTCCAATCAATACCTTGGTAGATTTTAAATTATCTCTATTATCTATGATATTTGAATATTTAAAGTTATAGTACCTCATGGAAACATGGAAATTTCAATAATACTGAAGTTTTTTTTTTTTTTTTTTTATTGAAAATTTAAAGTTATATGTTGTAAAAAATTAAAAACTATTATAAACGAGACAAAAACAAAAGAACCTGATAGTAAAAAGACATCATTTTGCTTTTATTTTTCAATGTATGAATGCATGTTTTTCAGAATATTAGCAACAGCTCAAGCGAAGCTTGTTTTAAAAGTCTTAAAACAATACTAGGATTATTTATATTTCAAATAAAATTTGGTATATATATACATTGATTGTTAATTCAATATAGTATTTACAATGCATGAAATATCTATTGTTTAGTTATGAAAATATTTTATAACACAAAATGTTGTCTTAATAAACAACTGTCATGCAATTAAAATTATCCATTTATTTTTCTACATTTTTAAATTATACTTCCTTTTTTTTTTTACATTTAATTTCATTTATCTATCATTAGTATGAGTTAATGCTGATAGAAGTAATTCTTTTTACTTTGTAATACAATTCTTTAGTTTATACTAAGTTATATAACATTACAAAAAACTTTAATATTTTTAGTGTTATTTTTTAGAACTTCAAATTAAATTAAATTACTAATTACAAAAATAGAAGAAACGCATATAGAATAAAAGAAAATTTCATATTACTTACGTAATTTGCAGACCATCTTTTGTTTTATAAAACCCCCTTAGCAATCGAACAACCAAATCCGGAATAAAACTTGAAATGTTTTCTGAGCCATCAGCTAACAATGACTCTTCAAAATCCTAAACAAAAAAATTTGTAATAAAAATTTAATTAATATAATTATAATTATTTATACTACTTTATTACTAATTAATAATAGTTTTACATTTTTTTTATTTTCAAACCTAATAATTTACAATTCTACAACTTAAATAAATTTGTAAAAATAAAATAAATATATATATATATATATATATATATATATATATATATATATATATATATATATATATATATATATATACCCTTATAGTGTAGTCGAAAGAGCGTTTTAATGTAAAAAAAGTCTCTTACGACTACAATTTTAATTACCTCGTCTCTTAAGCTGTTTTTGATTGTCATCGAAATGTCAAAGCAATTAATTTATGCGGAAGTACATTAAATTTAATTGTTTTTTAAAAATTTTTTTAAAAACCGCAATTATAACGACTAGAAAGTTTTTTTTAATTAGTTGTGTTTTTGTTATTGATTTAATAAAAAACATTTTTAAAACATGCGTAAATGTTGCTACATCGACTATCTTATAGCCTGACTCGCAACGGAGTGCTGCTACATCGACTGACAAATAGCCTGACTCGCAACGGAGTGCTGCTACATCGACTGACAAATAGCCTGACTCGCAAGGAAATGCTACTACATCGACTGACAAATAGCCTGACTCGCAAGGGAGTGCTGCTACAACGACTGACAAATAGCCTGACTTGCAAGAGAGTGCTGCTACATCGACTGAGGGTTTGGTTTGGCCAGGCAGTCTATCAATTAAAAAAAAAAATTTAATTTTTAAATTTTTAAATCTTTTTCTGGTCTGGTTTATTAACGCGCTCTTTAAAACTACAGTTTATGGGAAACTTTTTTTGATGCCACGCAAGAGACATGCAAGAGTATATATATATATATATATATATATATATATATATATATATATATATATATATATATATATATATATATATATATATATATATATATATATATTTAAACAATTTTAAAAATGTATTCTACAAAATAGAGAGCTTAATGTTCTTAAAAGAACAGAGCAATTATTAATTAGTAGAAAATCACTTAACAAAATTTTTTTTCATTTTACACTGTGTTTCATCAATAAAGTTTCTGATGAGTCTTTGTGATGAGTGATTTAATTATATATATATATATATATATATATATATATATAATATATATATATATATATATATATATATATATATATATATATATATATATATATATATATATATATATAATGTATATATGTATATTATATATATATATATATATATATATATATATATATATATATATATATATATATATATATATATAATTCAGATAAAAACTATACAGATCAGAATATACAGTTAAACTACATAATAACAATTATTTAGATGACTCATAGAGGTATTAGCAATATTTTAGGTGTTCAGAAGTTTATCATTTTTCAACCTAAGTTAGCCTCATTTTTCATTTCTAAGGAATGTTTTTCTGATCTGTTGAGTGCCTCTGAGACTTCCTTTAGATTATTCCTTTAGGTAAATTGAGGTGTTTTAAAAGTTTATTCTGCTTTCCTACCTGGTTTCTGATTGTGAATAAAATATCAAATATTGTTCAAGAGAATTTAGATATGATACAGGCCTACATGAGCAAACTGACCCTACACACTTAATGAAAATTCTTTGTTGGCCTTTACTTAAAAACTTAACAAATAACTAATAATGATAACTAGTTATGTAAAAAAACAACTTCAAAAATTTATCAAGTATAAATAAACTAAAAAGTATTAATAAAGTGCACTTTCATGCACTTACTATTTTTTGTAATCAAATAGTCAAAAAATAAGACTTTTACGTTAGAGAAACAACCAATTTCTAAACCTGGAGTTCTTTTGTATAATAGTAGCAATGATCCCAAAACTCCAGGCTAAAAAATAATAGGTTCCAAGTCATTAAATCTCATGTGTTTTTTTTTAATTGCAGATCATGTCTACCAACATATTTAGATCTCCTGAACAGCAGAGACAAAGAAAAAACAGAGATATAAAGCTGGAGTCTTTTTAAGACTATGCATGCCTGATATATATATACAGCTTTTGAAATTAGAAAAAGTGAGGTCAGCAAAAACTTGTCGATCTTAAAGGGATCCCAAACTCCAGACACATGTTGTGTTCATATTAAAGATAATGTTAAAAAAAAAAGGTTTGAACCAAGTTTTTTTGATTAAAAATAAATAATGAATGCATACCGAGAAAAACTAATGTTGTTGTTTTAGCCGAAGCTCACCTCCATTTTTTCAATAACTTGGACTCTTTAAATTATACATCGCAATCTACAGACTTTGGCGATTCCTTTGAAGCGTGTTTAATTCATAAAAGTTTTAGTATTTGACGTCACGGTAGACTTTTAACAAATGAAACTCTGGAAATATTTTTATTTATTTTTATTCCAACTTTTTTTGGTTATTTGTTAAGTTTTTTTTTCTATTTTTAACATTTAAAAAGATATTAAAAACCTCAAATATTTTATGCTAGTTTGTTGCTATAAGTTGTTATTGCGCCATATATTTAATGTTTATAAATTATGAATATTTATTATCTCAATCAAGACTATGATAAAAAAATTGTTTTATATTAACTACCCTTATAAAATTAGTAAAAGCATTTTTGCATGAAGTTCGGGAAGTCAAGCGAAAAAAATTAGTTTGAATAATCACTTTAAAATACATTTAAAATAAATTATTTTAATGGTGGGGGTTTGAAAGTTTTTTTATAACAAATGTAAGTAAAAACTAAATAAATAAAAAGTTCAACATTAAACATCATTTCTTTATTATATCGCAACTGTAAATATTGAAATATTAACTTGAACTAAATTTACTTATTATTTAGAACGACTAAGCAATAAATATAAAAAGCCCCTAAAATTATGCGATTTTGTGTTGTTTATTTGATAATTGTTGTTGGTAATGTTGTTTATGTTGATTATTTTCATTAATATCAAAATAGTCCGAGATTAATCTGTTAGTTGCTTTGTTCATTGTTGCTTTATTTCTAATTTAATTTTATCTCTAAGTGTAAATTTATGTTAGAAAAGAAAAGTTTTTATTTCATCGCTCGCTCTTTTTATAAAAGAGTAGAACAAAAGAGAAAGAAAAGTTTTGCGTAATTAAACTTCGAATGAATAAGAGTTGAATAAAATATTTTTTTTTTGTGTCACTTGTTCTTTTTTTAGATGAAAAAAATAAAAGTTTAATAGTAACTTTTCTTTGAATAAATGAAAATTGGAAGAGAAAATTGCTTGAAAATTTGTATTTGTTGTGTTTTAAAATTTTTTTAATTTTTCATGTTAAGAGACAAATGCCAAATACGATACAAATTGGGAAAAACCAAATATAATGTTTTTTAACGCGCGTTATGACATTTTGACAATTTAAATTACCATTTACCTTGAATTATTGCCATTAATTAATGTGTTAATTATTCCGTTATATTATAATAATTTGTCTGTATTTTTATTAAATATTAGTTGTATAAAATGGGCGAAAATATACAAACTTCATGTTTTTTATTTGATGGTTATAAAATATTGAACAGTAAACTTATAATCAAAATTTAAAATGCCGACTTGTGTTGTTATTAATAGTACTTTTAATGCAATACCAGGATCTCAGATATCCTTTCACGAATTTTCATATCTGATACTACTGTCAACTGTATTGTTTAGTGTATTCTTGTACTTTTTTTTCATAACCTTAACAGGTTCTAACTGGTATGGAGTTGCCGACATTTTAAAAGTTTCATTATTAAAAATCAAATGTAAAATAAAATGATATTTCCTTTTTATTCATATCCAATTCAGCAAATTTATCAATTTAAAATAAATCAGCGTAATCAAAAAATTTTTATAATAAAAAAAGTTAACAATTCATCAAATATCTCTAATTAATACTGTCAGTTGATGAAATTAATTGTTAATAAATACTTTTTTTTAACGGGAAAACAAAAAATATCATAGCGTAAAAATAACCAGAGTAGTTAGAAGAAAAAAAGTTACCATTGTTTAAATAAAAATAAGTAAGATTCAGAATATATATTACTACGCTCTCTTGCACAAAAACGAGAGACCGTATATGTTAAGTTCTATATAATGTAAAATACTCGTATGAAAATCATAAGATTCGTAAGTAAAGCTTTAATATTTGTTTTAATTTAAAAGCAAAAGAATTATAAGTAAGATATATAAATCTAAAAATTATTTCAGATATCAGTAAAAAAAAAGTTCCTCCTATGAAACATAAAGCTTTTATTATTTTTGATTTTTACAAAAAATTATTGTAAAAGTTGTTTTCCTGTATGTTAAATTTTTTTTTCTTGTATTAAAATATAAAAACGCAGCTTTGTTTAATTACACTTTTCTTTTGTTAAAAATCTACCATGACATCAAATGCTAAAACTTTTATGAATTAAACGCGCTTCAAAGGAATCGCCAAAGTCTGTAGATTGCAACGTATAATTTAAAGACTCCGAGTTATTGAAAAAAATGGAGAAGACGAGCTTCGGCTAAAACAACATTAGTTTTTCTCAGTATGCATTAATTAATTATTTTTAATCAAAAAAACTTGGTTCAAACCTTTTTTTTTAACATTATCTTTAATATGAACACAACATGTGTTGGGAGTTTGGGATCCCTTTAAACTGAGGTAGGTTGGCATTAAGTTGGCAAAAATATTTGACACAAATGGGTTACCATAAAACAGGAAATGAGGTCAATAATTTTTTACTAGCCTCAAACACTTTTAGGTCAGCAATTAGGTTGGTATTGTCTAATTCCAATGGCTATATACTGCAACTGTTTTTCAAAACGCCTTATTATGCTTATTATGTACTTCGAGAATAATGCAATTAAAAAAAAAATTATTTGGAGAAACTCTTTGTAAAACGTTTTTTAAAACAAATAATTTTTATAAATTTTTTTAGAACTCTTTGAAAACATGTATTCAATAACGTTTGTAGATATCTAAACTGGCTTAATTTGTAAAAAAAGTCAAAATTGATTTTTTTTTACCTTAAGGTGTTTTGAAAAACGGCTGCAGTATATATATATATATATATATATATATATATATATATATATATATATATATATATATATATATATATATAAATAGTATTGCGTACTAAGGTAAGCAATCTGACGTCATACTGAAATAGCCTGCTGCTGGGTGCTTCAGTACATACATCGACTGACAAATAGCCTGACTCGCAGTGGAGTGCTGCTACATCGACTGAGGGTTTGGGATGGGGAAGCAATCGATTATTCATCATTCTTCGTTTTTTCTTCTTCTTTTTCGAAAAAAACGGTACAGCTTAAGGCAAGCAGAAAAAGTGAGCAAATGCTTATTAAAACACGCTTTAGTAAGTGTGTGTGTGTGTGTATATATATATATATATATATATATATATATATATATATATATATATATATATATATATATATGTATAAATAGTATATATATATATATATATATATATATATATATATATATATATATATATATTATGTATAAATAGTATATATATATATATATATATATATATATATATATATATATATATATATATATATATATATATATATATATATATATAGTATATATTATACTTTAAAGACTTTAAAGATTTTTAAGATTTTTACTTTCTTTTTCAAAGGTTTTCATTTCTTTTTTTCTTTTTCCAAAATTTAGAAGTGATTAGTGAATTATAGTAAAAAATTAGTAAGCAATAGTGATCAAATGTTCATTCATTCAAAAGTTAAATTTGTGTGATTACTATATTATTTTACTATAATACTTAATATTTACTTTTATTAATAAAATTACTCAAAAACAGTTAATTCCTAATTGTTATAAAAGTATGAACACCAGTGGGTTAAGAGATAATCTCAAAAATTACATATGATGTATTTGGCCGGATACCGGATACCAAATTATCCTGCATTTTTGCCAGATTATCCGGCCAGATATCTTATCTGGTATATCTCCAATTAAAACCTAGCCATAAAGCAGACTTTGAAATATTTTACTGTACTTTGTCATATTATAACCAGGGCCAGTGAGAAGAAAGTACATTTTTTTTCCCTGGGCCTCATTAATCAAAAGGGCACATAATTTTTTATATTAATAAAAAATTTTATTATTACTTTCATAAATCGTGCAATAAAGCATCATGCTAAATTATTACAATGATTAAAATAATTGAAGCTTGTAAGCTTATTTCTGAATCTATTATTTGTTTTCATAATTTTTTTGACAATGTCCTCAAGGCTGAATTGTTCTGCATTTTAGCAAGAACAGTGCTCAAAATAAGGGGCAGTCAACAGTCAACGATTGCCGAAAAGGATCAAAATTTTAACCTCCTAAAATAAATATAACAAATTTTTGACTTTAAAAAATAAATTTACAAACAAACAGATTGTATTTTAAAAATTTCATAACATCTAAAGTGAAATATTTTGAAAAAACATAAGACATAAGCTTTATCTTTTTTTCAAATCCTTGTTAATTCTTAGTTTCATCACTTCACTATCAAATCAATTGCTTTTAATATACTTAATTAAAGTTCTTATTTTATCATTATTTTCTGATGTTAAATTAAAAAATTCTTCTTAAACTGTTTGTTTTTTTTTTAATTTTTTTTTTTAACTACTTGTTTTATTTTTTTATTATGTATATATTTTTTAAATTAAATCTTTTCAAAAATTGCATCAAATACGAAATTTTATACAGTAGTGGTGCGCTCCCCTAATAAGCGAGAGATTCCTAGCTCAATCCCCACCACGCCCTTGGTAGTACTGCGCTCAACTTGTTTCTCCATACATCAACCTTATTCATCAAGGTTTAAATTTTGGAGTTAAAGAGTTGAGAGACGGTTCTAACCAGAATTAAAAATGCCTCCTTGACTATAGTGGCTACAGTCAAGGAAGCCTTAGGGCGGTGAGTTAATATGAAAAAAATAAAAATAAAAAATTTTTATTTTCTGTTGTCAATTAAAAACATCTTTATTATACAGCCCACAGAATCAGGGTCAGCATTCGACAATGCTGACCTCAAAGTGTTTGAAGTGGGCAAAAAATTGCTGACCTTGTTTCAATGTTTTATGGTAAAACCTTTGTATCAATTTTTTTTGCTGACCTATAAAGGATCAGTAAATTATTGCTAACCTCATTTTACCTAATTCTGAGGGCTGATTATATATATTTTTTTATCAAACCTTTTTAAAAAGCCTATTAAAATTTTGAAAAAAATTTAATTATTGTAGGCACAATTTTATTATCAAGTTATCAAGCACATTTTTATTATCAAGTTATCAACTTTTAATATCAGTTATCAAGAAATTGAAAAGAGAATCAAATATGAAATGGAGAGAACTATAAAGGAAAAAAAACCGCCTTCATTTTTAACACTAATTTACCTTAATTAATTTTTAACATATTTTATATTAATTTAAATTTATTAACATTTCATATCATGATTGCATGTTAAAATTTCATATTTTCTATAGCTACGCTTTGTTGCTATTTAAAAAAAACTTGAACTTGGTATTAAAAACTAAAAATATTTTTTAAAGATTTTAGTGCGCTTTAGAAGGTAATAAATTAGGAGGTAATAAATTTAGGAGGTAATAAATTTTAAAAATCTTTTTAAATAAAAATTTTTCTCAAAGAAAACCAATAGTAGTTGCCATCGTAATAGTAGTAGTAATAGTAGTAGTAGTAGTAGTAGTAGTAGTAGTAGTAGTAGTAGTAGTAGTAGTAGTAGTAGTAGTAGTAGGTAGTAAATACTAAGTACTAAGTAAATAGTAAGTAGAAGTAGTAAGTAAGTAGAAGTAATAAGTATTAATATATTAAGTAGTAAATAGTAATTAGTAAGTTATAAAGTAGTAAGTAGTAAGTAGTAGTAGTAAGTAGTAAGTAGTAAGTAGTAAGTAGTAGTAGTAGTAGTAGTAGTAGTAGTAGTAGTAGTAGTAGTAGTAGTAGTAGTAGTAGTAGTAGTAGTAGTAGTAGTAGTAGTAGTAGTAGTAGTAGTAGTAGTAGTACTAGTAGTAGTAGTAGTAGTAGTAGAAGTAGTAGTAGTAGTAGTAGTTGTAGTAAAAAAAGTAACAATATAAGTATGTTTTACAAAAATGATATGCCATAAACTATTTTAATCACTTAAAAATATAGAGCATAACAATAACAATAAAACAGCATTAAATTAAATTTTATTCAAATTTTTAACAATTGACAATTATTTATTTTGTAATTTTTAAATAACAAAAATAAAATAATTATCTAATAGAGACTATTGATATATATTGAAATTAGCAACATGCTGGCTAAGCTCAAAGAAAATATATTATAATAATTAATAACATAATATTGTTACATGGTTCAAAATTAATCTAACTTTTACTAACTTAATTAAAATTTACTCTAGTGAAAAGATTCCTTACCTCGATTTCAAAATCAATTAAATCAAATGATTCTTTAAATACATGAAAGTAATAAGAGATGGCAGGAACTTCATGCCAGGTGTGTAATTCTACAAAAATTTTCATTTAAAAACTTTCAACTTAATTGCAATAAAACCGAACAATAATAACAGAAATATTAATGACTTTTATGTAGAATCAACTTATACTAAATTTTAATAGACATTCATATCATTAAAATATTGACGGTTATAACAACAATCAAGTCTATTTTAGTTTATTGCCCAGCTTTTAATGATTATTTATTTATAGTCTAAGGTTAAAAAATTTATATTATTTTTATAACTTACTGCAAATTTACGAATATTTACGAAATAAAAATCTTTTACTGTAATGATTCGGGGCGAAAAAAAAAGCTTTTTTACAGCGTTTACTCGAATATCATAATAGCATAATTAACTCTCAACACAACTTACCGTCCATTTCGATTTTCTTTTCTTTCATATCGAACCGCGCATAACTGAATCTTTTTGGAGATTGGGGCAAATAACGTTTCAAAATCAATAAATGAGCATTTTTTTACAACGAAAATAGCACTAAGAACACAGAGTGCGTTAGTTCCAAAACTGCAGCGATAAACAATCATTTTTTTTAGTGGGCTTAAATGACAAATGAACTAAATTTTTGTTTAAGCTTACAGTTTACACTTTTTTACACGACTCTACAAACAGCAACTGGTTTGAAGCATATGGAACTTTAAAACATTAAATTTTGTTTAACAAAAGGTTTGTAAAATATAAAATTTAACAAACATTTTGTTAAACAAAATTTAATACTTGTTTCATCAGTGAGAATAATAAAACAACTAATTAACTACGAATTAAGTAATTTAATATTTTAAAAAATTATTATAAAAACATCTATCTTTCATGATAGGTGGAAATATTACAACAATGCCGGCAAGAGCAGTTGGACTTTTTTACTGTCGATACTAAAATCTACCATCCATTTAAATATTAGACCAATTGAAACTTTTTTTGAAACAAAATTTTTTTGTCCTAAAAATAGATGAAGAAAATATTAATTTCTGTTGATGCGTAACTATGACCAACGTAAATCAGAGCTATTTGGAAAGTGTAAGGTTATTTCAAAATAATTCTTTTTTTGCTTGAACTGCTTGCTATATAAATATTCTTTAGATTATGTAGTTGTGTTTGCAATATATTAACTACTTATCTGTTGTTAAAATAAAAATGGTAATATTATCCGCATTGCGTTAAAACATGCAAGTAAAATATTTTTTAATTTTAAAAAATTACTTAACTAACTTTATACTTGAGCAATAAATAAAAAACAGTAATATTTTAAAGATCTTTTAATAAAAATTCATAACAATCCGACAATTTAAATTTGACGTTGTATTAAAAATATAACAAAATATTTTATAAAATACTTTGAGATTTATACAGAGGGGCTAATTAAAAAGAATTTTAAGGGTTGTTTGGAAATTCCATCTTAATATTCTTTTTTTTATTGTGAACGTAAAACTTTATACTTTTGTGCTATATATATATATATATATATATATATATATATATATATATATATATATATATATATATATATATATATATATATATATATATATATATATATATATATATATATATATTTGATTTACCATATAATAAATGCTCTGACAATACAAAAGAATAGATGTGTCAGGAACGGCAAAGTATACAAAGCGTACAACAGTTATAATAAATACAATATGTAAAAAGTTGTTTATTAGTACAAAGCAAAACATTAACTTTTTCTGATGATTCAAAGAATTACGAAGTTCCAATTTCCACGATTTCAGAAGATCTCCTATCCAAATCTTCGGTATTCGGCAAAATCACATGACACAAAAATTCTAAACACTTTAGATCCTAGTTCTGATCTATTATGTTGCATATAAAACAAATATATTTGTCAAAATACAACATTAAATTTCAATCAAAAATTATACATTCCGAAAAACAAAAAACTTATAATTAAGAAAAACTGACATTGACTTATCAGAATAAATCATATTATTAAATTAAGATGTTCATTATTAAATTAATTGTTCATTTCACCTAAAAAAATTAACTTATATTATTAAATTAAGATGTTCATTTCACCATAAAAAAATTAACTTATATTATTAAATTAAGATGTTCATTTTACCTAAAAAAGTTAACTTATATTAAGTCTTAATCTAATCTAAATAATAGCAATTTTTAAGTGATCTAAAAAATTTATTCTTCGGTCTGGGTTTTTGTGTCAGAAACATTTTTATTTCAGATATTCTGCGCAAATATGAAATATGGAGATAATTTTTATTAGAAAATCTGAAATATAACTATTTATAATTGTTTCTCATTCAGGCGGACATGAATTTCAGCGTTACCAACTCGTACAAAAACAGCATTTCGTTTTTGTACGAGTTATTAAAGGACATTTTATTTTTGAAATACACATCTGTTAATAACTCGTATAAAAACTTTTATCTTTCGTCGTAAAATAGAGACAAAATCGTTTGATGGAATTATGTCTTAGTCAGCAACTCATCTTACAGACGCAATAATATTTCAAAATCTCCTTAACTATACCGAGCACCACAAACTTTCTAATAAACTAAATCGTACAACAACAAAAAAGAAATTCAAAACGCGCCAAAAAAACAATAATAACAAAAAAAAAATTTAATGTTACATTGTATTGCATTTGAAAAAACCTCGCCCACATTGGTTTGTTGAGGAAATAAAATAAGAAGAAAATAGTACTTAGTTGGATTTTTGTTATAATAAAAATAAATTTTAAATTTGTTTCAGAAAACTGTGACATTCCAAATTAGCCAAAACAGTTTGGCTTTCTTGATAGAAAATGTAACAGTTAAAATGTCTTCGTGAGAAAATCATGAAAACTCAGTTTGATACGTGGCTAAGTATTTAGGATACTAATTCCCGTAACAGGTTCGCTAATAGGTTGGTTGTTTTTCAAGGGGCAGATGCGCAAAAGCTTCAAACTTTTTATTGGCAATAAAAGATATCCAAGTGTATTCCATTCTTAAAATCAATTTCAGACGCAACAACGCTGCTTAACACCACTATGGCTATCAGTTTGGTTAGATATTTTATACAATAAATTTAATTGTAGCGTTATGAGCAGCTTTAGGAAGGAGTTACATAATCTCAAAAAAAAAAATCATAAACTTTCATATCTTTTTTACTTTCGCAACTAAATGCACGGATATGGCAAAAATAACGTTTAATCAATTTATGAAAAAAAATCTGAAAAACATACTATATTTTCCAAACAAAACTCATTAAAAACTGCATTAAATATTGCATTGTTTAACCAAAAAACCATATGTATTTTTTTAACAATGATTGTTAAAAAAATACATATGGTTTTTTGCAAATTATAAATAGTGTTAATTTGCGACTAAAATATTGGGGGGAAAAAAAAGAAGGTTTTCTTGTTTTTTTGCAAAGCTGAAAAACAAAAGTATTGTTTTTTTTTCGAGATTTGTTGTTTAAGTTAGAATATATGGGTGATTTTTTATAGAAATTTAAACATCGGATCGAATTCGAGATTCGATTCGATGTTTAAATTTCTGATTCACAGAGGTCTAGAAAAACAAGGTTTTTCTTTGTATTAACAGTTAAGTTCTCGTCAAAATTCGCAAGCACTGGCTTAAGTCAGTTACAACGTGTTTGACACCTCCAGAAACGCACTGTCCGTTTAATAAACTTTGCGTATAGGTTTACACATTGTAAAATGTTTTTAAAAAAATTAAAAACACATTTATTTAAACTAAATGTATTATTGTAATATCTCATTCATATCTGGAAACAAGATTTATGTTAATTAGTTTTTAAAAATTTATTAAATTTAAAACCAACAAACACCACAAAGAAATATTAATTTTATAAGCAAACTTTTTGTAGAATGTAATTTTGTATTTCATATTGCGCACCGTCTCTAGAATAAGATAATTTTACCAAATTTTGATTGATTGAATACTTTTTATGTCCTCTCATTGAAAAAACAAAATGTTGAAATAAAATTTCCACACTTTATTTTTTTAATAGAAAACATTTTGAAATACTTTTTATGCTGAGTAAATGTGGATATGCATTATAAATAGTGTAATGTGATTTTTAGAATTTAAATTTTTTATTATTTATATCATAATTATTTATAAGTTTTTTTTTTTTTAGTTTTTTTTTTTAGTTTTTTTTGTGTGTGTTTTAAAATATATTGTTTTTTTTTAAATAAAAGATTGCGGCAATAATATCACCCGGTGGGAAATCGGCTAGCAAATAGCTAGCTATAATCGTAACGATAAAGACAGCGATTTGGCCACGAGGATCGCTAGCTTTTTTAAGTTAGCGAAAAGCTATCGATTTTGTCAAGATAAAGACAGACATTTGGTTAAGAGGACAGCCAGCTTAATAAGCTAAAGACCCACTGGCTATTGTAGCTAGTGTCATATCGTAATAAAGTCGTTGTCTAAAAAAATTTGATATATAGCTATCAACCAGCTATAGATTTGTAGATATTTATTTGCTAGCTACAATATGTAGCTAGCGATACATTGCTACAAAGTCGCAATGTTTAAAGTTCTATTATCCTCATAATTATAATAGACTCAACACTAAAAATCGAATTTTTAAAGATGTTAAAGACATTAAGAAATAATAAAATAGGAAAAAAAAAATTGCTAGAAAATCGCTATAAAGCTAGCTACTCGCTCGCTAGTCGCTAGCTCATTTCCCACTGGGCAGATTTTTGGGTAGGTTTTGAATCTATTAATTTATATATTTTATAAGTTTTTATAACATGTTAGTACGAAACAAAAAGAATTATCTTTCATAAATATAAGTTTCTCAACTTTAACAAATCATTCTCTAATTGGTGTCGTTAATCTATTACTTAAAACGTCAAAATCCTCATTCCGAAAAGTCAACGCACACATTTAAACTTTTTAAAGTTCATCATGCGTAATGTGCTCATTTCACTAAAAAAAAACAAAAAATGTAAAAATTGAATTATTATTTTTTGTTCAGGGCATTTAAACTTGAAATGTCACGAATTTTCACGTCATGTGATTTTGCCGAATACCGAAGATTTGACTAGGAGATCGACCGAAGCACTGAATATTCAGCTGCTGAATATTTTGCGATACTTATTTACTTTGATGGTTCCGACCTGCTTTATTTAAGTCCATATTTTAATTATGCTGTTGGCGTTTTTATTTCATTTATGACTAGATTGAGTCACAGCACGAACTTATAGAGTGGTCAATTATACGGTTGCCTACTTTTATTGATGCACGCTCCAAAACGAAATTCAAGGAATTAATTAAAACACAACAAGCAAAACAAAAAATATTTAAATGCTTTAAGAAGGATTAATTTAGTGATAGGTTAATTCTTCTCAGTGAAAAGCTGGTTTACACCAATAAACCATCACCGGTGACTTATAGTACCAGTGATGGTTCAGCTTCACTTCGTAAGAAAAAGAAATGAAAATGAAAAC